AAAGAGTGCCTCCAGGACAATATTCAGAAAACACATAGGTAGCATATTCATCCTCTTCGCGAGTAATCATTTGTACAATATTGGGATGAACGAGCTCACGCCATATACTGATTTCTCTATATAAATATTCCTACAAATTTAAAATATCATAATATTAATTAAAAAACATTATTAAAGATATATTATAAAATGTTATTTACCTGAATGCGATCGCTATCTGATTCTTGATTTTTGCGTACTATTTTAACAGCAGCTTTTTCTATATCATAATCATTGTTCATCTTAATAGCTTCTTTTACTGTGGAGAAGCCACCACGACCAATCACTTTACCAATAATATAATCACCAATTTGCTGACCTTCTTCATAAGGCATTGGTTTAGACAAAGTAGACTGAGCTAAACTAGCTAAAAAGTTTACAGCGGGTGACCAAGGAAGATTTTGGTAGGATGCTGCAGTAACTATATTAGGCAATGAATTACCGACTGGAATATGGTTTTCAGTAGAAATACTTCTTGATCTTGACCTCGCGGTAATAGGTGAAGTTACTGGCTGGGAAATAAATGTTCCAGGTTGAAATGGTGGATTAAAAGTCTGTAATGATTTTTTGTCAGATGAGTGTTGTTGCGTTTGCGTTGACTGCGCAGGACTTGATACAGGCGACGAGTAAGAGGAAGATATCGAAGAACATGGAGAAGACAATGAAGGAGAAGTATTACCACTAATTTGCTCAGGTTGTTTAGCGTTATCTGTTGAGATTTTATAGTTTTGTTTATTCAAATCATGCTCTTTATCACTTTTCTGTCCAAAGTAATGTATTGAAGTAATTTCCGAAGTCGAAAAGTAGACAAAGGGCATTCCATGAGCAGGAGCAGATGCACGTCGATAGGCCTTCGAATTTTTCGCAGACGACTTTGATGACTCAACATTTTCATTATTATTACCGTCTTTTATTATTTCATCAATTTTTTCCTCTTTTTTTTTCGATTGATGATCAGAGTCTATGGCGAATTTGACTTTGTATATACTAGATCTTCTAGGTCTTTTAGTTTTTTCTGAACTATATTTAGGTGAATCAGAGGATGGCTTTTTGACTTCGTTATTTATATTCACCGGGCAATCTTG